TAGCTCGCGCGACCGCGAGCGCCGCGCTTGATACCACGTCGCGCTCTGATTGGCTGGCGAAGCCGACCCCCCGCGATCCTAGCGCGCCCCGGCGCATCGACCCCGAATCGATCGCGATCCTCGCTCTCTTGGTCGCTATCCACTGTACGAGTCGGACGCACGACGAGACTCCCGGAACATATTGCCCTGTAATCGACGGAAAGAAAGAACGTGATGTCCCAGGACGACGATATCCGGTGAGGTGCCTCGTTTCTTGCAGCCACGAATCTGCGTGCCGAGTACTGTGTCGAGGCTAGCCGCCGAGTTTTCGCGTTGTATCGGGCAAGGACGTAACCTTCGCCATATTGGTTTTTGGAAGGCGGCTAGAATCGGATTCACGGGGCTTCGTGGCACTACTTCGTAGGCTTAAGTGCGTTTAGAGTGTGCGAGTATTTTGCTAAATACTGTGATCAGCCCTGGAGTCGCTCGGGAGGCGCCAAGTAGCATTCGTTAGTCTGTAAGAATTTTTGTTATCGCTTCTACTAAACTGTTTTCCCGTGTGCTTATTATTATTCCCGTCTTGTATGCATCGCTTTGTGCTATAATATCGCGTGCTGTCGTAACGATTTGGCGAGATCGAGATTCGTACGGCTGTCGTATCGGTTTTGCGACGTGAAATCCGCGTTGCTGTCGTATCGACGAGACCTTAGAGCTGTCGTAATAATCACAGATTTTGCCCGGAGTCGCGTTGTCCGGCGGAATGCTCACGGAGAGCGCTGCGCGTCTCCTCGACTCCGCTTGTTACCGGCTTCAGTAGCTTCTTGCCAAAATAGATCAGCGAAAGCTTTGTCGCCGTGGATGGTCCGTGCATTCGCGCTATTTTGCCGCCAGCATAGAAAAAATACCCACCCCTCACGACCCGGGCTAAGGAACGCAGTTCTACCGTTGTCGACGCACTAACCGTTCCACCTGGTTTACTATCTCGCTTCGACCACGCGGCGTAGTTACGTATTTGGATATGTTGCGTGCTTGCGTTCTGTTCATGCTAATTGCTGCGTAATTTCTTTTGTAGTGTTTATCCGCGCTTTCGCTTGAGCTCTTATTAATTTTATATTCCCTAGTATTTATTCCTAACTCGTTTGTATCATAACTCTTTTCTTTTTTTTTCAACTCGTTTACATCTGTTTTCTTTTTCTTGATCCATCTCTTATATTTTGTCAATAAAATTGTTACTCGAACTTACTAGCGCCCGCTTACGCTTCTCTATCTCTTTCGCGCCCTTTTCTCCCATCCTAGGAGGGACAGCCTGTTATTTAAAAACAATAGACCCCGCCCCTCTCCACTTGCATAGAGCAAGTCGGCCCGTTGTGCCGCGCGACGCAAATTGTGACGCGGTAACGCGTCTGGCGCCCAAAACTCCACCTAAGGATCCGTCGGCTCGGCTCAGCGGTACGCTCGTGTGACCNCTAAGGATCCGTCGGCTCGGCTCAGCGGTACGCTCGTGTGACCACCCTTTTCTCTCCTGCCGATCCAGACGTTTACTATCTCGCGGACTTCCGTCCGTGTCCCGACCTCTTACTGCCGTTTCGGGCGGGACGACGCGGGAATTTCGTAACAACCGAGAAAAACGTCACAATACATACATATAAATACAATTTTTAATTATAATAAAGAAAAGTCAGAGAACGAGCCGGAGAATTTGGACATTTCTTATGCCGTGTACGACGTTATTGAGAGTTGAACGTCGTATCGCCAACTCGCTCGAGCGAGAGCAAGACAGAAAGTCATTTCTCTGTCTTTTTTTACTGCCCAATCGCGCCCGAAGTCTCGAGCGCACACGAACACGATCTGAGGTTGTGTGCGCATCCCCTCCATGCTATCACTGCTACCGCATGCTACCAAGTGTTCAGAATCTGGCATCTCTGGTTTGAACTCCTCCTTACAACAAAAATGGACACAGGAGTTGGTGGAAAGAGCAGGCGTCACAATTTCGGAGGAGGGCTGTGGTATTGAGGAAATTGAGCGATTTCAACGGATTTCAACGGTACCTTGCCGGGGAGGGGTAGCTATAATTGTTTACGCCTCGTCTACTTTCGCGAAAGGCGGAAAACCGTTGTACGACGGTGGTGCGTTGCTTGCCTCTCTCGGACGCAAATCTTTGCTACGTTTAAATATTCTTTATAGCGAGGGTTCGCGTCACTATTGCCCAATTTTGAATTTAAGAGCGGCGGCAGGGAGCAAGGGATACTGTATTCCTTGCAACCTGCCTTATCGTCCAGAACGAGGAGTTCATCGATGCTCGCATAAATGTCTGCGTTGTCGCGGTGTGCCGTCGTGCAAAACAGAAAAAGTAGAATTAATTCAATGCAAGCAATGTAAGGGAATGTTTTACGGGCGCGAGTGTTTTGAGCGTCACCGAGCCGAAAAATCGTACGGAGACGGTCGCGTGAGCGTGTGCAGCGCCTTGCAATTTTGTGACGATTGCGGGCGTTTGTACAGAACAGCGAGTGCGAGGCACGAATGCGGCGTCGTGTTTTGTAACATTTGCAGTTTGCGTCAAGATGTAAACCATCTTTGTTATATTCGATCTCTTACACGCGAGGATTTCACCGGCAAAGAGAAAAACGCGCGCGTCGCATTCGTGTTCTACGATTTCGAAACCCGACAGGATGAGACGCTCAAAGATACAGCGTCTGTGAAAATTCACGTACCCACTCTTTGCGTCGCACAGCAGATTTGCGTCGCGTGTGCGGGCGAGGACGACATGACGGTATGTTGCCGGTGGTGCGGTGTGCGCGAATTCGTGTTCCGCGATGATCCGGTGAGGCAATTTGTCGATTTTGTTACGAGAACGACGAAATGTTTCAAGCAGATTATCTGCATCGCGCACAACGCCAAGGCGTTCGACGCGCAGTTCATTCTTCGTTACATCACGGAAAAACGTGGCGATTTGGATCCACAAGTAATATTAAACGGGACGAAGATCGTCGTATTAACGGCCGGGCGTACAAAATTTATTGACAGTATCAACTATATGCCGATGCGTTTGTCAGCTCTGCCGCAAACTTTCGGTTTGCGGGGTAGGGTGGAAAAGGGATATTTTCCGCATTTATTTAACACACTCGCGAATCAGTCGTACGTCGGTCCGTTACCAGCCGTTGAATGTTACTCGCCGGATAGTATGTCTAGCAAAGAACGCGAACGTTTTTTGTCGTGGCACGCAGAACAGATGCGCAAAGACGCAGTTTTTGACTTTCAACGCGAGATAGTGCGTTATTGTCGTAACGACGTTGATATCTTGCGGCGAGCGTCCATTGCTTTCCGCAAGATATTTCTCGAGCGCGGAAACGTATGTCCGTTTGAAGAATGCACGACCATTGCTTCTACATGTATGCGCTTTTTCCGCAAAAACTTTTTACGTGAGGAAGAGATCGGCGTCATTCCTCGCGACGGATATAGGCTCGCGGATACGCAATCCCGCAAAGCTCTGCAGTGGCTGGTGTGGAAGGAGCGCGAGCTCGGCCGCATCATTGTTCACACGGGTCACGGGCGAGAACATCGTCTCGTGGAAGTCGGAGGCATTCCCGTCGACGGGTGTTACGAGACGGCGAACGGTGAGCGTCACGTGTTGCAATACCACGGCTGCTTTTGGCACGGGTGTCCCGTGTGTTTTACAACGGAACGCGACAAACGTCTTTGCACGGGGAAACGCGAAGTGTACGACACGATGAACTCGCAATACGAGCGTACACTGACAACGTCATGGCGTCTTCGCAAACGAGGGTACATCGTGACGGAGAAATGGGAGTACGCTTTTGATCGCAATACGCGGGAAAATCGCGAAATGCGAGCGTTTTTAGACCACTATCCGATGCTCGCGGCTAAACCGCTTTCACCGCGTGACGCGTTTTTCGGCGGTCAAACGGGAAACATCGCGATTTGGCGCGAAGTTACGGGTACGGAGAAAATACGTTACGTAGACGTGTGTTTTCTATACCCTTACGTGTTGAAAACCGGCGCTTTCCCGATTGGACATCCAAAAATTCTTGTCGGACAAAAAGAGTGCGCCTCGCTCATCGGGGCGATGCCCGGTGTCGATATTTCCGCGGTCGAGGGGCTTGTGCGTTGTAGAGTGCTTCCTCCGCGCAATCTCTTTCACCCTGTACTCCCGTACCGCGTGCAGGGCAAACTACTGTTTGCCTTGTGCCGCAGTTGCTGCGAAAACTTCTCGCAGACACAGTGCTTGCACGAAAATCCGCGCGATCGTGAATTCGAAAGCGTGTAGGTATCGTGTGAATTACGGAAAGCTGTGGAGAAGAGTTATTTCGTGAGTGCAGTGAGCGAGATATGGCAATACAAGACGAGCCGATACGACGCTGATACGCGTCAGGGGGGATTATTTGCCAAATACATAAACTGTTTTCTCAAATTAAAGCAAGAAGAGAGCGGATGGCCGAGCAAATGCGTGGACGACCAATCTAAAGAACGATATCTTCGAGAATACAAAGCAGTCGAGGGTATTGCTCTAGATAGAGCAAACATTGCGCAAATTCCAGGTTTACGCTCGGTCGCAAAGCTGTACCTCAATTCGTTTTGAGGAAAATTCGGGCAACGATTGAACTTGACGAGTACCGAGGTGGTAAAGTCGCAGGAACGTCTCGTATCGCTATTGTCGAGCCCCGAGCACGAGGTAACCGATATATTACCTGTAAGTGACGAGGTAATATATGTTTCGTGGCGAATGCGGGACGAGGCGGTACCCTCTCCGATTACCAACGTGATAGCGGCGTACACGACGGCACAGGCGCGATTGAAACTGCACGAATATTTAGAACGTTTAGGCAAGCGCGTTTTTTATTACAATACAGATTCGTGTATTTATGTGAGCAGCGGAGAACCCGGCAAATACGAACCGCGTACGGGAAATTTCCTGGGCGATATGACGGACGAGCTCAAAGGCTACGGACGTGGTAGTTACATCGAGTCGTTTGTATTCGGTGGCCCAAAATTTTACGCGTACGTAGTTTGTACTCCGGACGGTGGCGCGCGGGAGGTGTGTAAAATCAAGGGAATAACTCTCAATTCCGCAACCTTCCTTTCCGATTTTTCCGCGCATTCTTTTGTAAATAGTTTGTATATTTTAAACGTATTAGTAAGAGTTAAAATTGTATATATATATGTATATGTTTTCTGTCCGAACAAGTCATAATGTAAGCAAGCGCTTTGTACAATAAAAGAAAAATATATAAGTTATTTTAACAATTGTGTGTAAAACTAAGGTTATAAAATGCGAGATTTTCTGTACATGTTAGTAGATTAAGCAATAGGTACACATTTTGTAAAACGTAATATTTTAGTGTTATTAAATTTTTATTAAAACAAAATTAAAAGATTTCTTTTTCCCGATCTCTGTTTTCTTTTATCCGTAGACACTTTTTGATATAACTTCAACAAAAAGCTATAAGCTTATATTGGCGCGCGCGTTTGACGAGCTTATTTTTGCGCGCGCGACAATAAGCTGATTTTTTATGAAAACAGCTTTTCATTCATCCGAAATAAGCTCACCGTTGTCGCGACAAAAATTAACTAAATTTCGCGGCAAAACGTGGCCCAACGCGCGATGGTAAGTTCATCGTCGCAAACCAAAAACAGTTTAATTTAAGAGTTATACAAGCGGCAATTTGCACAGTCTTCGAAATAGACGTGCGCTGGAAACATCCCTGGACGTCGATCGTTTGCGGTCCTACGGGATGCGGGAAAACAATTTTTGGAAAGATTTTTCTCCGTTATTTGCCGAAAATGGCGAATATTCAATTCGGGAGAATTTTATTTTAGTACGGCAAGTGGCAAGAAGCCTATCTCGAGTTGCAACACGAGATGGAAAAATGTAAAATCGAATTTCGCGAAGGACTACCCCGCCCGGAAGATTAATCAAACGATCCGCTTTGTGCAAAATTAATAATAATCGACGATTTTATGCAAGAATCGTCGTCGTGCGAAGTGATTGTTGATTTGTTTACCAAGTGTAGCCATCATAAAAATCTTAGCGTTATACTTATTTCACAGAATCTCTTTCATCAGGGACGCGGTCAATGCGATATTTCGCTGAATGCGAATTACATTGTGGTTTTCAAGTACCCGCGCGATCGCGCGCAAATTCGCCATCTCGCGCGTCAAGTCTATCCTGACGACGCAAAGTTTTTGGAAGAAGCGTACTACGACGTCACTTTGCGTCCTCACGATTAGTTACTGCTCGATTTGAAACAATCAACACCGGACGAATATCGTTTTCGAACGTGTATCTTTCCCAACAATCCGCGTCATTACGTGTACCTCGCAGATCCTTTGCGTGAAAACAAGCGTATAAAAACCCGAAGCACACGAGTGAAGGGCATCATTCGAAGCTACGATGCCGACGAAGGAGCGGAAGAAGCAACAAAAGGCGCATATTAGAGTTAAGCTCTTTCTCGGTGAAAAAAACATCTGTCTACTGAAAGCTCTGTGTCTTCTAAATAAAAATCAACGCGCTGCTTTTCTGCAAAACGCTGAAAACAAATTCATCGCGTGTATTCGCGAGTGTGTCCACAATACGCTCAGAGGTAAGGTACCGCTCGAAATAAGAGAGAAAAACCGCTTAATCCGATACAAAACGGCGCTGCGACGTATCGCGGAACAAAGAGATATTTGGAGGTGCAAGAGAAACCTGCTGGTGCAACAAGGATGCTTTTTATCGTACATTATCGGGCCCATACTCACAGCTTTATTATCTCAAATTATCGAGTAAACATGGAACGGGCTAAAAAAATGGTGCTGATTTCCACGGATAATCTCGAAAGAATGCAACAACGAATGGCGGGGAAAATACCACTGCTAATACCACACGCACTCCCGGAATCGTGCTCTCGCGTCTCGACGCGGAGATGAGACGTATTCTCGATTCCCCTGTTGATGAAGGTGAAAAATGGAAATTGTACAGCGAAGTACTTCGTTGATATCTGTATTTTATCCGAAAAACGAGAAAGCGTTCTCGCAAAGAAGATCTATCTGTGGCGGAAACAACAGCTGTGACTGGTAGAGAAAGGGAAGAGGAGGAGGACGAGGAAATGAGAGAACTATTTCACGACGCGAAAGAACCAATGGACGCTTTGCCTCAAACATCCTCTGTTTTACCAAAACATTATTCAACACCATTCCCAGATGGCACAGGACATCTTTGGGACGTCCATGTAAGATCCATTTTAAGTCCATATGTCCACAGACCGAAAATGGATATCCATCGAATATCCATTATTGGACATAAAAAGAATATCCTAAGCAGAGCATTCTATGGACATCCATTCTCGGATATAACATTGAAATATCCTAAATAGGACATTCTTGGACACAAATCTTGTATATTTATAGATTCTTGGACATCTATATTTAAATTATATTTTATCCTACTTCTATTCATATGATACAACATTCTTAATAAATACTGTTTTTTAAATATATCTAATTTTTTTCAAATCAAACAAAATTCGCAATTCTGAAACATTGTAATTTTTAAATCAATTTGCGTTTTATTAAATGTTATATAACATATGTATATAATATTA